ACAATCCGGGGCTTGAGGTTGGGTCGAATCTAAGTCCCTCCTTGTTCTTCTTTCTGGGACCATTCCAGTAATCAACAAGGCACCCAAAAGGGATAAGTGGACCAAAGCGTAATTCCCATGGAGATTTGTCACCCCCCGTTGCAATGACATTCTGCATGATGCACCAATGACGGGGAGGATGGGGGCAGTGCCAGTGATTCAAACCTGCTTGAAGCAAATTGACACGGGTACCTTCCAATACTGACCGGACTGCCCTTTCGGCTTGAGCATTGGACTTTGATATGTAGTCTCTACTGAGTACGTGACGGCATTGGAGGATCTTCATTGCTGAAATCAACTCTGGCGCGTTATCACTGTAGAAGACACCAATCTCACCATGATGTCCAACAAAATGCTTGATTGGCAAAATGGCAGCATTGGTGGTTCTTCTTGCATTGGGGTAGACATATATATAAAACCTGTGGCTATGTCTTTCACTACGAGTGCACTTTTCTCTTCCATCAATTCCCAATTCATCTTCATCTCGGGTGACAATAAAATCAGCAGTGATGTGGTCACCAAATTTCTCAGCCTTGACTTGGGTGGACCCGCCTACAGCCCTTGAGGGTGGCTTGAACATCTTGGCCTTCTGGCAAATGTCGCAGTAGGGATTCTTTGGGATATGAGTTAGCATATGTCGGATAGACTTAGCTTCTTCCTTCAACGCCTTCTCACCCAATGATCTTTTAAAGTCTTGGTCGAGGCATCATCATGAACACTACTGCTGCTACCTTTCGAACGGCTTTCAATTGGCGGCTCAACCTTCCGGTCGGCATCAGGGACATCAACCTCCTCAGCCTGCAAAGGCTGGCGCTCTGGAACATCAACGGGGTCGGTCATCTCCAATGATTTCAATTTCCCGATCTGGTTCCGGAGACTGTTGTGCTTCATCTGATGCCGGAGTGGCAATACTTGGTCTAGGCTGAGTTGATGGAGTGGAAATTGTTTTCGAATTGTTTTGCAAAGTAGGGTACGTAATCTCTGACAACTAACTCAATGCGTTCCCTATTTGGTTTCACCATGTAAGGAGGTTCACCTTTGGATCCTCTCCAAACGAAGTCGTAACCGTCATCGACACACCTCATGCCAACTGAAACAACAGGTGGGGAGCTTCTAACAAGATATGGATCAATAATGGTCTTACCCAACTTCGGCACGAACACTCTCCCCTGCTTCGATGATGAGCTTTCGCCATTGGCGGTGATCATACGAATTGGATTGTCGGAGTAGTATCCATAGTTGTCAGGTAGTTCACTATCATTCACCAGGTCGGGCACTTCCCGTATCTGCTATCCAGTCAAGGTTGAGGTTGATTGCTCCCTTTACGTCTTCTTTGCATTCCGCAGGGGTAGCTTTGATTCCCTTAGGGATACATTCATTGCAACCAAAATCTGTGTCGCATAAATAGGCACATTTGCTCTCAATATGTTGAAGACAGTCGGAAACGGAACCAGCCAACATGGTACCGACCAAAGCGGCATCATTCACGGCAAGCTGATCAACTTCAAACTGATGTCCTCATGGAAGGTTACCTTATCCTTGGTGACTTGGTTTCCAATTGGCCTCAAGTTCCCCCGGGCTTTCACAAGAAACACGTCCGGTGATTCATTGAAACGAATCGATGGGCAGAGTACTCTTGGCTGAGGGATGAAAAATGCCTGAGACACGGATGCAAGCATGGATGCAACGAGGCAAACAGCGGCAGGTGATGGTTTGGATGAGCTGGCCGGATCCTTGGGACTTTGGGCTCTTTGGGCTCTTAGAGCGACTAGAGCTACGTGATCCCTTCTTCTTCGGGTTCTTGCCAGACTTCCCTTTACTTTTGCTGTCGCCACTTGCCGATCGGGCAGGAGTGGCTTGTCTAGGCTTACCAACCGAACCCTCATGAAGAAACTTGCAATCAGCTCCTCTATCACATCTACCCTGCTTCCAAAAGTTGCAATCTTTCTTGCCTTTCCCCTTTGGCTTGGGAGATCCCGAACGATCAGTAGAGCGACCTCTAGTCTTGCTAGGCTTACGACTTCTGTCACGTGGCTTTGGGGCTTCATGCTTGTAAGTACAGTTGTCTTTACTACAGCCCCCTTTGTTCCATGCCACACAGTACCCCTTTGGGATGAAGCCTGTCTTGCCCTCGACTGCAGGAGCGGAGGGACGACTGGCACCTGATAGGCCTTTGGCAACTCGGTCTCGATTTGCCTCCAACCTCTCACGGTCAAGGTGACGTCTGACAGCGGAAACAAGGAAACTGTAGGTTCGTTTTTCGGTTCCTTCATCAGCTCTGTGGTACTCATTCATATCATGTTGAATGACCTTGCAATTCTTCACTTGTTTGTAGAAGAGTGTTTCCAACACACTTTCATCAGGGGCCTGAACAATCCCAGCCAACACCTTGTTCTTTCTGGGCAACTTGTTACTCTTATCCCCATCAGGCTTGTTATTGGGATCAGGTGGTGTAGGAGGTCCACCGCCTCCATCCCCTCCATCATCACTCCCTCCGTCCCCTGGGTCTTGTTCGTTCGGCACATAGTGATCTCCGGGCTCGAAGTAGTCCACGTCGTCGGGGCCTAATTCGGTCGGAGAGTAGTGTTGGGTTGGTGCCGGAGAGCCAACCTTCCCCGTGAAAGGATTACCACTGCGTTTGCTGGCGGCCACCCCTTCCGGAGGGCGTTCGTTGTTCGAAGACCTGGCAACATCAGATTCTTTCTTCACATGAATTGGAACTCGATATTTCGGGTCATGGTAAACGATCTCAATTCCATCAACCTCGAGAGTCTCAACATTTTGTGGAGAGAAGGCAATCGGTGCTTTGGGGGTCGGAGGAAAGTTCACCTTCGGAGGTGGTGCCGCAGGCACTGCTTTGGATGTCGGCTGTACAAGCTCGAACCCCGGTTGTGATGATGTGAAAATTTCGGCAGTAGTCGTCATAGCAGCGGTTTCAACAATCTGACTTGGACATGCCTGGGCAAACTGGGAATCAAGCATACTCTGTAACTTGAGGTTCTGTTGCATTTGGGATTGCACCGCTTGTTCAAGTTGAGTAATGCGATCATTCTGAATCCTTCTTTCTTCCTCAGCCTGCCTTTTCAGTTCAAGGATTTCTTGCTCTTTACTGGAAAGCGATTGGCGATGATTTGCATCAATGACACGTTTGTAGGCTTGAATTTTCTCACTCATTTGAGCTTCTTGGAACCTTACATGTTCGTGTGCCTCATGCTTTAAACTCTCTCGATACTGCGTTCCCATTCTCATGATTTCTTGTTTTTGGATACCATTGCATCTAAGGCCCTCTGACTCTAAATGCCTTCACGGACTCGCAATGCTTCCACTAATTCCTCAGTTTTGGCCGTGTGGACAGCTTCCGCATGGGCTTCAGCCTGGACCAATACCTCACGATGGCGGAGTTCGGCCGTTGTTTCCACAAGGCTTGTCATTGCAGGGTCATGCGAATGGAGATGAACATCCTGCTTGACAAAATTCACTTGAGGATTATCAACATGCATATTGTGTTGAAAAGTATTGTGAACGTTCATTTGGTTCAATGGGCGAGTCGGTGGCCCACCCTCCCGAGGGGCTTGGGGAACGTATCCACGATGATTGAATCCCACATGAGAAGGCACAGCGTTACTCAAAGGTGGCGTCGTTCCCTTAAACTTAAGCTTCTGGATTTATCGGAACCAGGTGGGGTGCTGATATCCACACTGAATGGGGAAATTGCAATAGGTAGTGTCCCGGGGTTTGCCATGGCTGCGTCAGAGGATGAGCGCGTCCCGTTTCCCGCGGTGGAAGAACCTGAGGGGGCAGACATACCTACAAAAGAGAAGTTACGCTACGGCTGATAACCTGTTTTACAGACGTACCAACCACAAAGCAACAGCTAGCACACTTGTTTTTCTTGAGCCATACACACAAGGTATTAGAGGGTGAAAACATGTATATACAGTGAGACTAACCAAAAACAAGGCTACGGCGCGGTTAGCGACCCGGGGCAACTCATGGATTTCTCATGATGCTTCGTTCACCAAATCATGGTATTTGCAAGGTTTTGTAAAAACGTGATAAAAACGTCAAGTCTTAGTTACACTGGGGCCAACTACCAAAAGTGCGTTTCGTGTGGAACATTCATCGATTTTCAACACGTCTGAAAAGAATTATTGTTTTTTTCTTCTGTTGGACAGATTCAGTCACATATGATCACCAGTCATTCAGCAAAACTCATTTTTCAACTCACCCTTGCAAGTTGTTCAGCGTCGACTCTTCTTGGCCAGCTTTCCCAGTTCCTTCCACAGGTTATGACCTGAGTTGTGTCTGTACATGAAGGCTTGAATCTGGTCCAGCAAGTTAACATGAACGTTAACATCTCCACCCCACCCCAACCCAGTGACGTGACGTCAGTTGTGCATGTGACGCAAGTTAAAATGAACGTTTACATACCCACCCCACCCCAACCCAGTGACGTGACGTCAGTTGTGCATGTGACGCAAGTTAACATGAACGTTTACATCCCCACCCCACCCCAACCCAGTGACGTGACGTCAGTTGTGACGCAGTTAACATGAACCTTAACATCCCCACCCCACCCCAACCCAGTGACGTGACGTCAGTTGTGCATGTGACGCAAGTTAACATGAACGTTTACATCCCCACAACCCAGTGAGTGACTCAGTTGTGCATGCGACGCAGTTAAAATGACGTTAACATCCCCACCCCACCCCAACCCAGTGACGTGACGTCAGTTGCGCATGCATCAATTTCAAGAGCAACTTGCATCCAATCAGCAAAAATGACAAAAACGCAGGGGTCGTTAATGGCGCCGTAGGCAAAAACAACTTAAATGGGTCCAGGTAAAAATGCACCCCCCTAAAACTTGGATATGGTTGGTTCCAAAAATGGACCAAAAACGGCTGTCCCGCCTTAAAACAAATTGACCCATACCCAAATGGTACCGTCCCTGGCCCCGATACTTGTAGCTCCGAGGAGGGGCTATTGCCAATCCAACCTTGTAGGAGCAGATGTCGAAACCAACCCTTTCTCGGTGTACATACAGCACATTCGGCAGCTGCGGGAAACACTTGTAATGACTTTTCTTCGAAGTGTCTACAAATATGAAATCGATATCCTTGGCTCTCCGACCCCCAACCACCTGATTGATCAGAAACTCCACGTTCTTCGTACTTCTGTCTTCGTCTGCTCGCTCGAAAGCCATAATCAGCAGCGTTCGACCATTGCCTTCATGAGGTGCGCGATCAATTTTCTCAATTTCCTCTTTGGTGAAAGTTGGCGCAGGAGTTCATTGGCACTTGGAACCCGCGCCAGCTTCAGCTCTTCAAAACTTCCATCTGAATTTGCCCAAGGATCCCAAGCTGCAGGTTTTTCGCTTGGAGTTTCAGGCGTAACATCTGCAGTCGTGGGGCTTGCTGTTGGGATGTCCACCGGAACGATCTCATTGGATCTTTCCGTCCTGCCACTGGATATCTCGAAGAGGTTCCCCGAAATGAGTACAACTGCTGCGGTCACCAGCGCCGCGAGAATGAGCAATTTCCATTTCATGGCCAAATCACATGTGATGCTGCAAGCAAATACAAAATGCAGTTCTTGGATTTTCTTGGAGTGGTTCAGCTGCTGACTGTTCAAGGTCAAATAATGTCAAGCGATTTGTTAATGAACTACATCAAAACAGTTATATATACATTTGGATCAATTGAGCTGACAGTTTAAATGTGCTCTGCATATCTCTGCATATTCTTCTCTACGAGGCAAAGCCTGCGATTCCACATACTTGTACAGTGTATTACCATGTAACATTCCACAAATGGCAACTGTTGTAGGTTGAATCCTTGATCTTGTGCAACAGCCACAACAGATCCCCCGTTGCCTTTGGATGCCTTTGGCCCGTGTCACCATGGCAGAGGGTTGGACGGACCTTCGGGAATCCACAGTTCTTGGGGATAATCGTCACGTTTGCCATTTAAATTTGTGTTTTTTTGGGTCTAGCCCATGTTTGAATATGACATCATATGATTATATTATACTGCACATGGCCGGGTTACCCCATGTTTGAATATGACATCATATGATTATATTATACAGCACATGGCCATTGCTCAAACTGTCTGGCACGGTTTGAAGTGATTGAAATTGGATGGTGCTTGGATCCCAAATAGTTGCTGCAAGCTGTCTGCACTGTAAATCCTCTCTGATGATTGGCACAGGATTGTCGTTGTCAGTTGGGGATCACTGGACCACTGGATCACCATGGATCAGCCCTCATCCCACAGAAAGTTGAGTCTATCACATCTAGCCATAAAATTTTCTTCACATAACATTAAATTAAACCTAAATAAAAAAAAAACACTCAGAACAACAAGGATTCACTCTAAATCCAGACGTGCTGACTCCATGCAAATCCTTGTTCTGTATTTCAAACAAGAGTCGCATTGAATTTGCTCACCATCAAGCAACACAAGCAATATCGAGTAATAGAAAAACACATTAAACATGTTGTGAAATAGTTCTTTACACTAGCAAGGAATCCTTTGAACACGGTGCATAACTTCTCAGCCAAGCTAGTACTCCAATCAATCTGAGAACGCTTTTCTTTTCGCTGGCTATTCGAAAATAACTGCACGAGACCTCAGTGAGTGAGCATCCACGACATCCACCAGACAACATGCAGCGAGTCACAGCGAGTCACAGCAAGCATGGCTATACTAAAATCTTTGATACCCAGCCAAGGTTTTGTTGACCATCCTGGTAACCCAGTCAAACCTTTTCCTGTTGACAGCTTGTGGGTTCTGTTCCATTCATCCCGCCGATATGGCCAAGGTGTCTGCATTGACAGGCTTGATAGACGCAGCGGAAGGACATCTGACATCCATCAAACTCTGCACTCTGACCTGATGAACTTTGGACCATCGCAATGCCAAGAATACAAACATTACACCATAGATATAGTATACCATATGTATATGTATATATATATATATAGATTATATACATTATGTATACCATATACATATATACCATATATATATTATATCATATATCCCTACACTGCTGCAGCTCTGTGCCAAACAAGCGACCTCTTTTCCCGCCTGGTCAAGTTTTTGGATCTGAGGAATGATGGACTCACTTTGGCCCATCGAAGCACCGGTGCTAAGGAGCCAAGATTCCCGTAACCAAACAACCCTCGAAGTGCATGAATTCTTTGGTCTAATCTTACTGGTGCTTAGCAGGGAATGAGGGAATGATCCATAATCACTAGTAATAATCATCCCATTCCCCCATTCCCATCCATTCCCTACTGAGCACCAGTATGCACCAGTAAGTAATTTGTTGTTTGAAAATACACTTCTAGCATCAATCTATGATCTGGGCACAAATTCTTGGCACAGAGCTTGTTCTAGATCCAGAAATGTGCACGGATTCCGGCTTGCCGAAGACGCAGCATGAGATTCATTGCTGTGTCCACAGTTTTTCCTTAGTTGAAACTCACCCATGTTTGACTGTCAAGTGTCGACCAGCTCTCAAACCTTTGCCAAAAGGCAAAGCCCTCTGGTAATCTAACATGGCTATTTATAATCATCATTTGTTTAATCATCTATAAGTCCATACATATAAATACTATCCTCCTGTGAACTAACATACAGTATCAGTTTGGACTGAGTGCTTTAATTTCAGCCAATTAGTTTAAGGGAACATCTTCAGCGGAAACCATCGTTTTTCTCGGTAAATGTAGGAAATGTAGGGGGTTCCTTTCCACATTTAGCTGACTTCACCTTCACCAAAATCCTATTGAAAATCGCCAAGTCTCCCCCCCAGTTGCCGCCGCCCCAATATTTTGCCATCTCCCAAAATCGGAAATGATACTCGAAATACAATTCATCCACCAGTTCGGACAGCTCTGGGATGTGGGCGATGGACTCCACGATATTCAGCTCGGGGCCCCCCTCAATGTCCACCTTCACCACGACATAGTCATCCACGGTGACTGCGGACTTCAAGAGCCTCAAGAAGCTTCCTCGCCTGGGTCCGAACATCTTCGGAGCTTTAATGTTTCATGATTTTGATTGATATCAGATCAAGACACCAAGGAGCAATACTGCGATTTTCGGGGGGGATTGGGGTGGATTGGGTTGGGCTGCGGTAGGGCAATAACATGCAATAACTATATATCTATCAGGCTCTAAGGCCCACTTGAAGTTGCCAGGGGTGGGGTGGGGTGGGGCAATGACGGTGTTGACATGTTCAAATCAAGCTTGTCAAGATGGCTGAAAAGGTTTTGTGTGTCCTACCGTGTTGCTACCTTCGCTACCTTTTTATGGATATAATGATATAATTTATAGCAGTAGTGCCGCACAAGGCGGTGGCGGAAGTTTCAAAAATAGGAAACCTATAGGAGAGATTGGTTGTTGTGAATCACGGATGGCAGAGCGAATCCACTGATGGACCGAAAGGTGGTTGGAGCTGTGTTTTTTGGTGGCCACCTGGTCGGTCACCTCACCCACAACTGCTGGATGTAGTGTGGTGTAGTGCAGCTGTAGTTGTAGTTGTAGTGTAGTGTAGTTGCAGTTGCATTTGCGGTGGCGTAATGAGTGTAGTGTAATGTAATGTAATGCAATGTCATGTAATGCAATGTACTGTAATGTAATGTAATGCAATGCAATGTGGGGTAGGGTAGTGTAGTGTAGTGTAATTGAGTGTACTGTGGTGTGGTGTGGTGTAGTGTGGTGTAGTGTAGTGTAGTGTAGTGTAATGCAATTAGTGTAGTGTAGTGTAGTGTGATGTGGTGTGGTGTAGTGCAGTACAGTGTAGTGTAGTGTAGTGTAGTGTGATGTAATGCAATTAGTGTAGTGTAGTTGTAGCTGTAGTTGTAGTGTAGTGTTATGTAATGTATTGTAGTTGTAGTTGTCGTTGTAGTTTTAGTTAGTGTAGTGAGTGTAGTGTAGTGTAGTGTAGCGTAGCGTAGCGTAGCGTAGCGTAGCGTAGTGCAGTGCAGTGCAGTGCAGTGCAGTGCAGCGTAGTGTAGTGTAGTGTCGCGTGGTGTCGTGTAGTGTAGTGTGGTGAAATTGAGTCTAGCGTACTGTAGTGTAGTGGAGTGTAGTGTGGTGAGGTGTAGTGTAGTGTAGTGCAGTGCAGTGGGGTGTAGTGTAGTGTAGTGTCGCGTGGTGTCGTGTAGTGTAGTGTGGTGAAATTGAGTCTAGCGTACTGTAGTGTAGTGGAGTGTAGTGTGGTGAGGTGTAGTGTAGTGTAGTGCAGTGCAGTGGGGTGTAGTGTAGTGTAGTGTCGCGTGGTGTCGTGTAGTGTAGTGTGGTGAAATTGAGTCTAGCGTACTGTAGTGTAGTGGAGTGTAGTGTGGTGAGGTGTAGTGTAGTGTAATGTAGTGTAGTGGGGTGTAGTGGAGTGTAGTGTAGTGTAGTGTAGTGTAGTGTAGTGCAGCGTAGTGTAGTGTAATTAGTGTAGTGTAGTGTAGTGTAGTCTTATGTAGTTGTAGCTGTAGTTTGTGTGATGTAGCGCAATGTAGTGTAATGTTGTGTAATGTAGTGTAATGTAATGTAGTGTAATGTAGTGTAATGTAGTGTAGTGTAGTGTAATGTCATTAGCGTAGTGTCATGTAATGTAGGGTAGTTGCAGTTGCAGATGTAGTTGTAGGTGTAGTGTAGTGTAGCGGAGTGTAGTGTAGTGTAGTGTCGTGTAGCGTAGTGTAAATGTATTCTTGTTGTAGTTGTAGCTGTAGTTGTAAGTGTAGTGTAGCGTAGTGTAGTGGAATGTAGTGTAGTGTAATGTAGCGTAGTGTAGTGTAATTCGGTGTAGTGTAGTGGAGTGTAATGTTGTGTAGTGTAGTGTAATTGAGTGTAGTGTAGTGGAGTGTAGTGGAGTGTAGTGTAGTGGAATGTAGTGTAGTGTAGTCGTAATGTAATGTAGTGTAGTGGAGTGGAGTGTAGTGTAGTGGAATGTAGTGTAGTGTAGTTGTAATGTAATGTAGTGTAGTGGAGTGGAGTGTAGTGTAATGTGGCGTAGTGTAGTGTAATTCAGTGTAGTGTAGTGGAGCGTAATGTTGTGTAGTGTAGTGGAGTGTAGTGTAGTGTAATGTAGTGTAGCGTATTGGAATGTAGCGTAGTGTAGTGTAATGTAGTGTAGTGTCGTGTAATTGCGTGTAATTGAATGTAATTGAATGTAATTGAGTGTAATTGACTGTAATTGAGTGTAGTGTAGTGGAGTGTAGTGGAGTGTAGTGTGGTGTAGTGGAATGTAGTGAAGGTGTAGTTATAGTTGTAGTGTAGCGTATTGGAGTGTAGTGTGGTGCAGTGGTGGTTGTAGTTGAAAATGTTACAAAACCCTCACGTTTTGCTCACTTTTGACAAGGTGCACAAACCCTCGCGCCTGCCACGCGAAACGACGCCTAAAAATCCGAAAATGGCGCGAACATGTGGTGCTTTTCACATTTTGACTTCGAAATGTGCTTCGCGCCACAACGGCGTGCACTTTTTCGACATCTCAACTTCCAAATGTGGTCCGAGAATGGTGTGCTTTGTACATTTTGACTTCGAAATGTGCTTCGCGCCATAACGGCGTGCACTTTTTCGACATCGCAACTTCCAAAGGTGTGTTTGTACATTTCGACTTCGAAATGTGCTTCGCGCCACAAGGGCGTGCACTTTTTCGACATCGCAACTTCCAAAAGTGGTCCGAACCTGGTGTGCTCTGTGCATGTTGACTTCGAAATGTGCTTCGCGCCACCACGGCATGCAATTTTTCATCTCTCATCTGGCCACATGACTCCGCACCCGCCGCTTTAGCGAGCCTACTTTTCGACTCTCCGGAGCCACAAATGATTGGAAAAACACAGTGTTTCTCGACTTTCCTACCTTTTCGCGCACCTGCATCTTCTTTCTTTCGACCCTTTCTCTTCTCTGATCTTCTCTCTTCTGCTCTTCTCTCTTCTACTCTTCTCTTCTCTCTGACTCTTCCCATCTCTGCTTTTCATCCGTCCATATTGTCGGAAGTTTGACTTTTAAACTTCCTTCGATAATGCTCGTAGCGGATTTTCCCGAGCGCGTCTGAGCGCAGGGTTCTTCCAATAGTGGGGGTCTGTAAAACATCTTCTCATCTTCACATCTTCTCATCTTCACATCTTCTCATCCTCACATCCTCACATCTTCACATCCTCACATCTTCACATCTTCTCATCTTCACATCCTCACATCTTCACATCTTCTCATCTTCACATCTGCTCATCTTCACAGCTTCTCATATTCACATTTTCTCCTCCTCAAATCTTCACATCTTCTCATCTTCATATCTTCTCATCCTCACATCCTCACATCTTCACATCCTCACATCTTCACATCTTCTCATCTTCACATCCTCACATCTTCACATCTTCTCATCTTCACATCTGCTCATCTTCACATCTTCTCATCCTCAATCTTCACATCTTCTCATATTTCTCATCTTCACATCTTCACATTCTCTCTTCCCCTCTTGCTCTCTTGCCCTCTTGCTCTCTTGCCCTCTGGCTCTCTCCTTCTTTTCTATTTCTCTCTTGAAGGCTCGGGGCAGTGCCAACGAGACGGCACGAAACGCAACCCTTTCGCACCAAATGAGGAGGTTCGATCATCAAAAACTGAAGTAAAATTGCGATTGCTCTTGTCCAATCGCAACCCTTTCGCAGGAAATGAGGTTCGATCGCCAAAAACTGAAATTCAATTGCGATTGCTCTTGTCCAATCTCAACCCTTTCGCACGAAATCAGGTTCGATCGCCAAAAACTGAAATAAAATTGCGATTGCTCTTGTCCAATCACAACCCTTTCGCACGAAATGAAGTTCGATCGCCAAAAACTGAAGTAATATTGCGATTTCTGGCGTCCAATCGCAACCCTTTCGCACGAAATGAGGTTCGATCGCCAAAAACCGAAGTAAAATTGCGATTTCTGGCGTCCAATCGCAACCCTTTCGCACGAAATGAGGTTCGATCGCCAAAAACTGAAGTAAAATTGCGGTTGCTCTTGTCCACTCGGAGCCCTTTCGCACGAAATGAGGTTCGATCACCAAAAACTCAGGTAAAATTGCGATTGCACGGGTCCGGTCTCTGTGTTTGTGTGTAAAAGCGTAAAAGCGTCTGTGCGTAAGAGCTTCTGCGTGTGAAGGTGTTTGTGTAAAAGCTTCTGTGTGTAAAAGTCTCTGTGTGTAAAAGTGTCTGTGTGTGTGAAAGCGTCTGTGTGTAAAAGTCTCTGTGTGTAAAAGTCTCTGCGTGTGAAAGTGTTTCTGTAAAAGCGTCTGTGTGTAAAAGCGTCTGTGTGTAAAAGTGTCTGTGTGTAAAAGCGTCTGTGTGTAAAAGTCTCTGCGTGTGAAGGTGTTTGTGTAAAAGCTTCTGTGTGTAAAAGTCTCTGTGTGCAAACGCGTGTGTGTGTGTGTCATCTGAAAAGATGTAAAACTTCTAACTTGCTTGATGAATTTGCTTCGATGGTTTTCATTATTGACGTCGGTAGCATTTTCGTTTTTCACTTATTTTTCAAATAGCAGGAGGGGGCCCGTGGGCACATGGATGGCACGGGCCAACGAAGACCCATCCATGATGTCGTGCAAACGTACCTGCATTATTTTCCATTTCCGAAATGGCGACCGGCCAAGCCAAGAACCGGCATGCCGTTTTTCAAACCAAACAACTGTACGGTTTTCGCAATCTGGCTGAGCTGCATCAGAACTGGTAAATCCTTCGAGCAAGGACGTAGAAAGATTACCTTCGCACAGTTTCTCACTTCTAATCATCAAACCGTGCCTGTCAGGTTAACTGAAGTGTTTTTTGCACGACGTGCGATGCATTCCACATCAGTAATTCGATAAGATATTTCTGAGCAAGTGTGTCCTTCGTAACGATATTCGTCAAGGTGGTATGAACCCTTCGGGGAAAGCCTTTCCAGGCTAACAATTGACGGTAAAACGATGTCTGAATTTACACTTTTGAATTAGTAATTCGTCTAAGTAAAGTGAACTGCCGGCCTTTTTTCGATTCTCACCTGTC